ATCATCATCATCATCATCATCATCATCATCATCATCATTATCATCATCAATCATCATTATCACCATCATCATTTTTATTATCATTATTACTATTACTACTACTATTGTCATTATTATCATCATTATTGTCAATATTATTTTCATTACCATTACTACCATTCAGCTATAAGTTGAGATTTGAAATAAGGTGTCCCTTGAAACTCACGATAATCAAACAGCTTGGGGTCAATGTCCACCATGCGGGCTAGGATGAGATACAGGCTGTAGCCCACGTCCATGAAACCGTCAGCGAACTCATCCTTCTGCTTCTTTTGCTGAGTTTCAAGGAGGAAAGTAATGGGGAAAGAATGTAATCAAGGCGATAGTAGGACATACGGAAAAAACGTCTATTCATCAGTATCTACACCTATATATCCGTTCTTCCATCCATCGGTCCATACATCCATTCGTCCGTCTATCCACCCATCTATCTATTCATCCATCCATCCATTCATCCATATTTCCATTCATCCATCCATCCATCTATCCATTCATCCATCCATCCACCCATCTTTCTATCCGTCCGTATATTTATCCACCCATCGTTCATCATTCCATCTTTCCTTATATATTAAATACATGTCTATCTATCCTCTGTCTGTCTGTCTGTCTGTCTGTCTGTCTGTCTGTCTGTCTGTCTGTCTGTCTGTCTGTCTGTCTGTCTGTCTGTCTGTCTGTCTGTTCACACACCCGTACTCATACGAACAGACGAAAACGAAACAGACACGAACATTCTTAAACACCCATATGTCCCAAAACACTACATACAATCCACACATCTACTCACCATGACTTTCAGCAACTTTTTCCCCGTCACTAAGTTCCGGTTCGACGCCATCTTGGTCTGTGAACCCAAGGGGTCATTGAGTGCCTCCTCCAGAGCCTTCAGCTCCAGAATCTTGGTCTTGTCTGTCTGATGGCGCTCGTAACATGTTGCCATGAGGGCCAGAACTGCTTTCTTGTCCAATGTGTCTTTAACCTCCTGCAAAAGTGGGGGTCGTTTAGGGTTGGGGGTGGGAGGGAGGAATTATTGCAATGCGAATCAGGTTTTTGAGGGACGTCTCTTTAAGCATTAAGCTCATAAATTATAAATGAATACATACATTCGTATTAATAACACTTATTTAAAAAGCTATCATAACCGATAACGTTGCATAAGAGTCATTAACAGTTAAGATCTTTGACGTAGCTCACAGAAGATATGGGTTCGATTCCCGTGCGAGGACTGTGTTTCATCGATCGTTTTCTTCATCTGTCTCCTGGTATACTGTATCCCATTCATCCCAGTGGACCCTGAATCTAGGACCGAAGCAGCCCACCCTTTGGGCGATCAGAATTGTGTCGATAGGCCTCCGATCTAATATCTTCATTATTATGACCTAGCTGAGTAGACGAATAGTCGCGAAAAATCACCCAAACCCATAACACAAAAACAAAACACACTACACAATCCCTATCCCACCTCACCTCCCCAAAACCAACAACAACACCCCCCCCCCCCAAAAAAAAACCCCCCACAAAAAAAACAACAACCCCAAACAAAACAATAGAAGAAAAAATAACGATCCCCAAAAATTGCGTGAACGATTCGATCCATGGTCATTCACCACAGTAGACTGGCATGATGTGACAAATGTGGATAGCAAAGGAAAACATAATATTATGATCCATTGGAAGGAGTCACGAGTAAGAGACACCGAGAGATAGAAAGAGATCGATTGACAGAGGTGCAGAGAGAGAGAGAGAGAGAGAGAGAGAGAGAGAGAGAGAGAGAGAGAGAGAGAGAGAGAGAAGATATATTACGAAAAAAAGAATGACCCAGACAGTGAAATAAATGAGATGGAGGGAGGGAATGAATGTGTGTGTGAGTGAGTGAGTGAGTGAGTGAGTGAGTGTGTGTGTGTGTGTGTGTGTGTGTGTGTGTGTGTGTGTGTGTGTGTGTGTGTGTGTGTGTGAGTGTCTGTGTGTGTGTGTACGCATGTGTGTATGCGTATGTGTGTATGGGTATGTGTATGGGTGTGTTTGTGTTTGTGTGTGTGTTTGTGAAATAGATAGATAGATAGATAGAAAGATAGATAGATAGATAGATAGATAGATAGATAGATAGATAGATAGATAGATATATAGATAGATAGATAGATAGAGGGATAGATAGATATATAGATAGATAGATAGAAGGATAGATAGATAGATAGATACCGACAAAGAGAGACAGACAAAGAGAAACAGAAAAAGACAGAGAGACAGAGAGACAGACGACAGACAGACAGACAGACAGACAGACAGACAGACAGACAGACAGACAGACAGACAGACAGACAGACAGACATACAAACAGATAGACAGACAGACAAACAGAGATGAACAAAGACAAAAAGTCGGACAGACTCGTACACTCACCAGAGCCACTTCCGTGGCGCCGGGTCCATTCTCTTCAATAAGACTCATAACAAGGTTGGAGATGCTGTTTCTCAGCTCTAGAGTCTGTGGGATTAAAACAATAAGTTTTAGTTTGAGTAAGTGTTTTACGGCACTTGCAACACTATAAGGTCATATAAGTGCCGAAGATTAGAGGGGTTACAAGAGAGTAACGAACACAAAAAAGAAGGGGGGAGATAAGGATGATGGGTGTTTAATAGGAAAGAAGGAACAAACCACACCAGAGCTCCCGCCAACCACCCACAAAAACAATTAAAAAAATCTCAATGACAATGATGACAATCTTTATTTTGTCCGTAAAAATTTGAATTTGTCTTGGTCGTTTATAATAACAGTTTTGCCCCAAAGTTTATAGAATATTCCAGACAGGCACACAGTCCAAGAGAATTAGTGCTTAAAACAAAAACAACAATGACAAACAAACAAACAAAACTTCGGAAAAACAGATATAAATAGCAACAGAAAAAAGGACAGTTTAACTGAATGGTGCAGGTTGGAAGCAGAATTGTGTAAGAATTAGTTGGGAAAAAAAACACAAAAAAACTCAAAGACATAGGCTGGGTCTAAGTCGACAGTATCTCTATTAAGGAGTAGGCGGGGGCTCTCGTGGTCCAGAGGTTAAGGTGTTCGCCTCTCGTTCAAAGGTCCCGGGTTCGAATCCGGGTAGCGACCGAAACAATTTTCTTCTCTAAAATTGTCTTCTTTCACCTTCTTTCCTGCTCCCTAGCAATATTCTGTCGTCTATTTTCGTCTCCACTTTCTGCCCACACCCCCTTTGCCCCCTCTTCTGGGCTTCTGACTCTTTCTGCTGCCTTTCTACTGCTACTCCCTGGCTCCTTCCTACTGCTGTCTTCCAGCCACTCCCTTGATCTTCTGATAGGAAAGATCTACACCTCTTCTCGGACGAGGGCAAAAAATCTCGGAGGTCACTTGTGCAAGTTGCGCACGTTAAAGACCCCTTGATGGTCTAAAATCGATAAGAGTAGGCTTCAGCCGCCACCAGAGCAAAATTCAAAATTTCCTACAAACTAAAAATGTTTAATGCGTCTCGCGCGCTCATATAACCTTATGCGGTTGCGAGTGCCGTAAAAACACTTACACCCCCCCCCCCAAAAAAAAAGGAGTAGGCGGGAGACTGGGATGGCGCTTAAGTTTTTGAAATATCAGTGGCAAGAGGACGATAAAAGTAAAGTGGCAAAAGATATACGAAGGCTCATACGACACACGACCTCCTCTCCACCTCCTCACCGTCTGTCACACGACTTAACTGTAGCAACAAAATCCGTATCCCAGATACCTACCTTCTCTGTGGAGCAGTCTGCGAACTCTCCAGATCTCAGGATAAAGTTGATGTAGTCAATGATTTTGTTGTCGTAAATGACAACTCTGTTTTCCTGATTTCCCTGTACATGAAAGAAAACATCAAAATGTATAATACAAGCTTTACGGAAAAGCAACATGAACGCCAAGGAAAGTAGATTAGAACTTTATTTTCAAAAAGTTAGAGCGAAGTAAGTACTATTAGAGAGCATAATAAACACAAAGATGACCTGGAAAGAAAAGCGCTAACCATAATAAAGCCTTTACATTGATGAGCCTGCTAGATCGTGAAAGCTCATTGCGTCTATAATATCTGCATAAGATATTATGTATTGCTAAGTCTGCAGTGTATGTGTGTCTCTTTCACCAATACCCCACCCCCAAAACAAACCAAGAAAAAAAAACCCATCAACAAACCAACAACCCCCAAGAACACGAAAAACCCAAGGACAAAACAACAACAACAGAAAACCCCAAAAACAAACAAACAGCAAAAACAACAAACAAACCTCCCCCCCCCTCCACCAAAAAACAGCCCCCCCCCCAACAAAAAAAACAAAACAAAAACAAACAAAAGCAAACGACAAAAACCTCTTTACATTGTATGAGTTAGGGAGAAAATGTTTTGAAAGTGTCTCTTTTCCTGCAGTCGATTTTACAAATATTCGTTATAACTGTCATCCTTTGAAACAAGAAAACCATAGCTGAAATTGATTTATTGCGATATTCATGAGCTCCTGGCTTCGAACGAAAATACTTTTCATTTGTCTCCAACACCCTTTTTTCTAACTCCTTAAATGGAATAATGCTAGCGAAGCAATAACGAAGGCCTACCACATACCATCAGAAAGATTAAGGTGTTCGCCTCTCATTCAAAGGTCCCGGGTTCGAATCCGGGTAGCGACGGGAACATTTTTTTCTCTAAAATTGTCTCCCTTCACCCCCTTTCCTGCTCTCTAGCAACGTTCTGTCGTCTGCTTTCGTCTCCACTTTCTGCCTCTACCCCCTTACCTCCTTTGCCCCCTCTCCTGGGCTTCTGACTCTTTCTGCAGCCTTTCTACTGCTTCTCCTTGGCTCCCTCTTACTGCTGTCTTTCAGCCACACCCCTAATCTACTGGTAGGAAAGATCTACGCCTAGCCTTCTCGGAGAAGGGCGAAAAATCCGGAGGTCCCGTGTGCGAGTTGCGCACGTTAAAGATCATTTTGTGGTCCAAAATCGATAATAGTAGGCTTCGGCCGCCACCCGGGCAAAATTCAAAATTTCCTTCCAGCTGAAAATGTTTGGAGTGTCCCACGCGCTCATCTGACAGTATGTAATTGCGAGCGCCGTAAAACACTTACCCCCCCCCCCCCCCAAAAAAAAAGGAAAAAAAAAGGAGACAACCCTTACCACTACACCACAGACTCAAGTACGTCTGGTGCAAAAAGCCTTCAGGGTGACTTATTGTTGCTAAAAGGTAGGGAACATACCCACAGGCTAATAGAGAAAATAAAATAAAAAGATACTTCGGTATTACGTGTTTGGTATCATCCAAAAAAAGGCGAGCGATTAACCACTGCTGCGCCAACGTATTATCAAGACAAAATACAACAAGGTATAAGCAAACAAACAAATAAACAAACACACAAGCAATCAAACAAACGAACGAAAACTAACTGCCCCCCCCCCTTCCCCCACAAAAACCCATCAATCAATTAAAAAAAAAATAAATTATTGGTCTTCTTGAGGGCCCTCAAAACTTTTCTAAGCAGTACAAATTAAATATACGGGACCTCCCCCCCCCCCCCCCGACCACCTTTTTTTTCGTTCTCCATTCCGACTTCTTTTAGGACAGAGAACTTACCGCCGTAAATTCATTCATGGTCTCGAAGAGCTGTATGACCAGGTCGATGTTCTTGCTGTTGATGTTGGAGTAGACGACATTCAGAAAGCGTGTCACCTCGGCTATGATGTCGAAAGACTTGACGTTGTCGGGTTGTTCACGGAGATAGTCCTGTACACAACAGTGCAAACATGTATTGGCGGTAAGATAAAGGTATACCCCCCCACCCCCTGCCAATTCTTAAAATACGTATTTAACCCTATCTGTACGTCGTGTTTTACTATCGTATCCATACGACGTGGGGGAACTCTGTGGCACCACTTTCCAAAGAGGAAATTTATTCGTTAATCCCATCCGTACGCTTTGCATAGCAGTCTGTCAAAATGATTTTTTTGAGAAATACTGAAAGTTTCAAAAAGATATTCGTACTAGAAGTATTCTGAAATTTGAAAAATACAACCCCGGGGGTACAAAATTACCCCCGGGCGTATGGATACGGTAAAAAAAGCGTGTTTTCCACATGACGCCACAGCAACTCAAACATGGCCTCACTGAGAGTGGGGACCCCACTGTGAGTACTAGGTCAGGTAAGTTCCAAATAGAGGGGGGGGGGGGTACAGTTTATCTATTTATTATCTTTTAAACTGAATCATAATATTTATCTCAAACCAATGGTTAGGTAAGATACCAATCGTATCATGACCAAATATTTAATAAAAAAGAATCAACCTGCAGGTGACAAAAAATGCGTTTAAAATTAGAACGCCCCCCACTGGGAATTAGAAGTTTAAGGATCCGCCTACTCGGGACTAATCCACGCCAAACCCATTAATTTAGGAGCATAGGAGCGTCCATTTCGTACTTAAACAGGCCGGTGGCTAAAATTCACCAACCAGCCTCCCATCTTGTCCAGCGAACTTGGGGATAACAAAGACATCTACAGCACAGCAGTCGGAGCTGGCAACTGCTCTTGTGGAGCGTGCTGACAAAATGAGTTACTTCTCGCAATTCACAAAAATGGAGACTCTCCAAAAATCGACACAAGGGTCAAATTTGAAGATTTTCTATTGATGCCATATTCTTTAACTATAACCTGTCTTCTATTATTTCTTACATGTACATTGTAAAAATTCACCGATAAGCGTGATGTATCTATTGATGAGAAGTAACTCATTTTGTCAGCAAGCTTCACACATATTCGTAGCTTTGTGATCTGTTCTTTCACAATTTACCTCGGGTAATTTTCCTGCCTTGATCGGTTTTTTTTCGCTACGTTAATATGAAGGTCTTGGAATATTGACAATGATGAAAGTAACAGCCAAACTAGCAAACGTTTATGATTCGTCTGTCTTTGACTTCATTGACGGAGTGCGTTTGCTCCCCGTGATACGAATGGCAGTTACTGGACGGAACCAAGACGTTCAAAGCTTCCCAATCTTTGATATAGTATATCGGTGTAAGGTACAGTATTACCTCTAGAATGACACTGCGGATGCATAATACGTTCGATCAGCAGCATAGCACAAGTAAAGTTTCGGTACATTTCGAACTTTCAAACTCAAATTATCAGAAACACGAGTTCGAGTATTTTTTAAGTACACAAGATGTTGCCTGCCGTTTTCAGTGTCAGATAAAGAAAACGTAATTGGAAAATCTACGTGAATAACAAAGCTATGCTCCTTAACAAACAACAAAAAAAGGAAAAGCGTCCCAAGGTCAGTGGTCTTCAAGTCAGTTTTTTTTTCTGATGACCAGAATGCACATCCTCAATGAGTCCACATAGACGCCCAAAGACCTACCTGTAGCTGTTTGTTCTGGCCGTCACACATGCGCGCCATCACTTTGAGCACCAGCTCGATGTACCCGTCGTTCTTGTACTCAAAGGCCGACGTGTCTGTTACCACGTCTGACTCTTGATCTGGCTGTAGGACAAGATGCAATAACACGCGAGTCAGGTGAATTGTGAGGAAAATATCACCCCCCCCCCCAAAACAACTCCAAAAAACAAACAAACAAACAAAACAACAACAACCGTCATTCTCTCACAAATAAAAACAGTGCCTGCTGAACCTCTGTGTGTACCAGTGCTTGTCAACGTCTTTATGGCCAGCGCCCACTTTCGCCACGTTTAAGAGGATAAATTCTTCGTACAGCCCATCTACAAGTATTTCCACGCGGTCTGTGTCTACTCATGTTCTAGCGCCTGTAAAATGGCAGCTTTCACTATATGTTTCCCAGGAAGTTGAGATTGTTTTAGAATGCGCATATAACTTGGCGTTGAGTGAAATTTGCTCTATACACATGCTATTTATTATTTTTCCCACCGCTAACTAAAATTTCGAGGGGGCGAGACCTTTCAGATTGGCAAGCACTGCTCTAAACGACAGAAACCAGTTGAAAGATAAAACTACCTCAACTTCTACTTTGATGGAGACGTCTATCTCAGTCCCTGAGTCTGGCATGAGCGCCTCACTCTCCTTGGCTATTGGGTTCACGAAGGACACCTCTTTGTCTTTCTTCAGAATGCCGTTGTTGGGGTCGTTGCTGTCTTTTTTGCCGCCCTTCTTCTTTTTGCCGGTTTTTTCTTTGACCGGCTTGCCCATTGTGTCGACAGCAGCTGGCTGCTTTTTCGCCTTCGCTTTTTTCTTTTTCTCTGGGGGTTTCACACAGGCACGGGTCGTTCTACGAGTCTGTTAGAAGGACACAAAGTAAATGATGAGAAAACAAGGAAACAACTTTTCTTACGAACAAAGGATTCCCAGTGTTTCATGATAACTTCTAAATCGTTGACACAATATAACGGAGCAACTGCAGATATTTAATGCATGATCATATCGTTTGCTGCTTATTAAAGTGCTGTCTGAGGGGCAACTTTCACCAATTTTCACAGTTTACCCCCCCCCCCCAAGTTCTCTTCCTATGTCTAATAGCCCTCTGAGACACTTCTTCTTTCTCTCTCTTCTCATCGTCGTCCTGATACACAGTCCTTCTGTCCTCCAAAACTCTCTCTTATTTGTTCTTCTCATGACGATATACTTAATGATCTTTTCCTTCTCTTCTTGACTGTCTTCCCATCCTCTGTTTTACCGTAGTATATTTTTTCTAGCAGTTTTGTCATCTTTCGCTTTGCCCCAAAATATCAGGTAAAATGTGTACATAAAATGTAATCGTATAAAATTTGTTTAATATACAAGTTCTTCAGATCAAGATCGCAGATTCAGGAATTGAGTATCCGATTTCAGAATAAGAAATCAGTTGAAAAATGAAAACATGAGCTGAGGTTTCACAGGAGGGATTGACCACTTACTAAGTGGAAGGCGGTTGCCGATTATTGCAAACTAGGAATCGTAGCAATCGAGTCCGAACCCAATTTCTTTCCACTGTTGTGATTTCTACTGGGTGTTCAAGATTTCTTCCGGTGGTTCCGACCCCTAGAAAGTTACATGATTACTTCCGGCAAAGTAGCAATTACTTCTGATGACCCCAACACTTAACCAGTTCCGGTTACCTAGTCGGCTTCAAGGAGCTTCAGGATCCAGGATAACCTCGATTTCGAAACACAGAGAGGAAACAACATTTTTAATTTTCAAAAATAAGTTTAAAAAAAGAAGAAAATTTTAATATTTATATAGTAATTGGTATTCGTTGGTTTACGTAAAAAAGAATCAGAACTTTTCATCTGTAGCACTAACCGCTGTAATCGGTTCCAGGATCGATTCTTCGCCCAAGTCTACCTCTTACTTCCCGGTTATTTGATAAGCATAATGAAGCTAACGTCGGCACAAGTAGGGTTCTCAAAGAGCGGTGCGTCTAGACAGTCTTGGGAGGAAAACTGTATGATTTCACTGAGATGTGGGGGCAAGGTGGTGTCGCGTCTCAAGAAGAACAATTGCATGGGTTACTTCAATAACGTACCTAGGTCACACTAGGGTAGTGTTGAGAAAAAGGCCAAAAACTGTTTCTCGTGAATATAGTAATGCACTGGAAAGGCGAGCTAAAACAGAGGACGTAGCTCTAAACATCAAAGATACAGTCTCCATAGAAGGCTGACAGGGTGCAGTCTCCTTTCTTTTATCATCCTATTAAAAAATCTTGATTTTCGCAAAAAATGGACTTACGTACGTTATTGAAATGACCCCTTCAATTTGTAGGCTTGGCTACTGTAAATCCTCAATTATTGTACTGATCCTGTGTGACCCAAAGGGTAGTGTTTGTTTATAGATTCCTAATAAAGAAACTTTTTATTACTAGATAAAAAAAGACTTTCGGTTCCATGAGGGAATACTGCTTTCGTTTCGAGTTTCTCAATTTTCCTGCAGCAAAGATTTGACTTCGTCAGTCAGGATCTAAGCAGGCTAGCCTTCTGTCTAAATAGTGTCTATGGGCATGTGAAACATCTAAGCCAAATTATTATAACATCAAGTAGACGATTGTCAAACTCACCCATCCACTTAGCCTCTGCTGTCTCATGGCATCCTCATAGGCTTGAATTTGCTGTAAAAAGAAAAGGCAAAGCTAACATTCATTTTCTATGTCTAAATTATCTCCCTCTCTCTCTCTCTCTCTCTCTCTCTCTCTCTCTCTC